TCAGAAATCCCACCATCAAACTAATTTCAAATGGCTCAGCCTGTACAACTCTAGAAGAATTTGACCTGAATTAATTAGCTTGCTTCCACTTTGAGAGCTTACCTTTCCTTTGCAGATCTGCATCAGGCTGACTGCATTTGAAATTGTGTATCTTCTCATTGTGGAGTCTTTGATGGCATGCGTGTAAAGAAGTTCAAAGTAAATGCCTCGATCTATTGCCTTCACATAAAAGAGAGTGATCAAAAATCAAAAGGAGAGAAGCATAACAATCTAACAACTGCTGTCTGTTATTGATGCAGCTTATTCTCAGTTTAACTGTGTTATATATGAAAAAATTAAGGCAGAAATGTTCCAGCAAGAGCACAGCAGAGCATTGTGGGGGGGTGGGGAGGGAGAACATTTCACTGTACACCAGATATGTGCACTTGAGTCTTGGGATGACAGATAAATGAGGCTTAACAAGCAAAGAAATACCAGCCACTTGTTAGTTGCAATTGACTTTCCTCTATCACAGAGTTTGAGGAGACACGTAACCATGGCTGGTGAGAAACAAGTCTTGAAATGGAGGACCCTCCTCCTCTAGCCCCACAGCCCGCTGTAAGGAAGACCACCGCTCCCCACAGTACCCAAGTCTTGCGGATGAGGAATTTGTCCTTGCATAAAAGCAGCAATGAGGTCCCTTCTCTCCTGTCTCACAGCATACTCTGGTATTTGTGACAATGTTAAATAACAGTGAGTCACACGAGAGGTTCCAAACAGTAATACTCGATATGTTTTCAACTGCTTTAAAATCCCTTGCTATCTCTCAAAGTACCTCATCAAAAGCCTAGTATTCTTGTTTTTGCAAAAACACACAGAGAAAAGTTAAGCATCTTGCCATAGGACACAGTGAGTTAGCGATGAAGACGCAATTCAAACCTAGGAGTTCCTAGTTCCCTGGTCTGCACTACGTTTGTCTGAAATGTTACTCAGACTATTAAATAAATGCGGCAATGTTAATACTATAAGAGAGTCCAGTAACCAAATACAGATGGAATTAATCCAGCTCCCATCCATGCAAGAGCTCTGAATGCAAGCACAACAGAAGCTATGTACACATCAAATGTTTTACACAGAGCTGGTCTGACATCTGCAAACAAAAGAAGCCTGAATTTATCAAAACCAAAACAGGTGATGGCAATAAACCAATTTCCAGCCAAGCAGATTTTTAACCTCATCCCCATCACTTCAGCTGCCTGCCAATCTGTCTGTCTGGCATCACAACAATCAAAACTGATTGTCTGAGGATGCACAAAACCGGTCTGACAGACACACTGTCTTGAAGCTGGAAGTGTGGAAGCTGAGAAGTAGTTTGTAAGGAAAACGTCTCCAAACACAGGGCTCCAGGAGCCACCCAGCTCCTCACCTGGGTCAGCTGCTGGAGTTTTAAGCAGCTAGGGAACATTCCATACAAAACTGTTATTCCAAATGGAACATTGAAATTCTCAGTCTGTAGTAAATTCCAAAATACTACTTTCATTCTGTTTCACGACTAATTCTAGTTAATTTTTAATTTTAATTCTAGGTCAAGCTTTCTGTAGAAGTGGAAATGGGATTTCTAGCCAATTCCAAATTTAAATTTTTAATCACTAAAGAGTCCATCAGCCAAGAATGCCCATGTGGAATGAACCTTGACATATACTCAGAGGAAAAAAACCTAGTTCACCCAAGAGCATGTTCAGCTTAAGCTTTCTGGCAAACCACCAACAGCAGGCAGAAGTGCATTAACAAAACATTTGATCCATGCTGATAGCCATCTTGTGTCCCACAGCAGATATTTAGCAATTCCACGTTTGGTTCATTTGCCAAGACATTCCTTTGTCTAAGTATGGATTCAATACAGTTGTCATCCAAATAACTGGCACAACATCCTTCTCCCAAATTAACACTGTCATTCACATTCTCCTGTCTTTTAAATGACTGGGCTGTTTATCTATTCTGACACAACTGTACCACTTCTGGTTTGGGAGGCAGCTTAGTCAGCAATCACGCCACATCTCACTGCTTTGCATAGCAGTGGCCTTAAGGCTCTGTTTCCATTCCTTGGGAATACCACTTCTGCGTTCTTAAGTGGGGGACAGTAAGGAGAAAGAGAAAGAACATACATCACTGCATTAAATGCTGCAGTAGAGGCCGTGAAGTGAAGGCAATCTGAAACAACACTATGTATTACGCAAGCAAATAAAAGAACCACTTGGATGGGAATGGTGGGAGGGAAATGGTAGGGGGTTCAACTCAGACTGACATTAAATACAGAATTTAACAGCAAGAAAATAATTTAGATCTAAATTTACCATATTCACAGGGGGCCTTCGGAAGTAGAATGGCAGCTTTTCTGTTACATTTATGCATACCAGATCCACATCTAGAGTTGTGCAAGCGATCTACAGCAAAGAAAGAGGAACAGATTATTAGATAAGCCAAAAAACGTGTAACCAACTTTAGGTGCACTGATGCTTTCCTTCATTTCTTAATGCAAGAAATGTCCCTCCAGAGTGAGCTCAGTCTTAAAACGAAGAGGTACTATGCCTTGCAGGTATGTCAATAAAACAGCAGGGCTACAGGTGCACAGCTTGAAGATTTCAGGCTTAAAACCCAAGCCTTCCCTCACTTCCAGAACTACTTTTCCAATAAAGTAATGGCCAACCCAAAGGCAAGACTTAGTGCTTTGTTCTTATCTGACATAGGACATGCAGAAGCAATGCGGGCTTTGGGCAAAAGAACTCACAGCTAATGAAGGACAACCCCTGTTTACAAAAAAGGAATAGCCCAGGAACTGCCCCTTGCCCCATCCCTCTAATTCTAGTGTAGCAACCATTTGTCTCATGGATCAAGTATTTTTACCAGAAGCATCCGAAAGACTGAAACAGAAGCAGAACATTAAGACAGTGACTGGCGCCCCATGCCCAGTACTGGAAGCCAATCCACAGAGCCTCACTTTCCTCGCTAGGTGGAGAATGTGCAGCCCTTCCTGAAAGCCACATCTCTGGAAAAGTCTCAAGATGGCACTGGAGGTCACAATTTACAAGCTTAGCTTTGAACTCACACCACAATTTTCAGCCTGTATTAAAAGAGGGAAGGAATGAACAAAGGGTCGAGAATCTCCACAGTGACACAGAGAAAATCAAGCACACATAAAAGGGAACCCTTGATTTACATATAATCTCATGCACACAAGACATGTAGGAATTATATATGCCTAGCCCGTAAAGATGATTACATAGGGCCAGATTAATGTCTGTAAGCAGCATTGTAATAAAGAAGATAAAAATGGGCTGAGGATGTTGAAAAGGAATTTTCTATGCATAGAGGAACTCTCTGCTTTCAGAAACCTGCCAGTAACTGCTCCAAATACACCTGGGCCAGCAGCCAACTTCTCGCACCAGCACAAAAGCAGTGGAGGCTGCAGGGAGTCCCAGGGCTGGGCTGTGGGGAAGCCACACTCTGCTCTAACACAGGGCAGGCTATGGCTTTGCAAACTAGTCTTCTACCAGTTTGTTCGCATGAAATTTGGATGGAGATGAGAGCAGAGGCCCAGCTTTAGGAATGTTTCCTAGCTGTTGATAGCACTCCCTCCTAGACAACAGGGCCACAGCACACATGCAGGCAACTCAAAGATCCAGCAAACCATAAGGTTTTTGATGTTAAAATGTTTCTTCTCTACCAGGCCATTCAGACTAAACTTTATCTTCATGCCCTACCTGTTCCAACTTTGTTAGGCAGGACACGGTTGGAATCTATTGTATCAAATTAAACTTGCATGTGTAAGTTTAGCCCTGCTACGGCCAGTTTTAATACTTACTTATGTGGAGTACAAAACTACCATCTAGACAGAGGTGATTTATGGAAACACGCACAGAGCAAATAGCTCTGAATCGTGTCCTAGAAGAGATGTCAGTAAGGAAATTCAGGAAGAGAGAAAGCTGAAAATGAAGGAAAGCAAGAATACACATCAAAAACATGCAAGTCGCCCTTGCCTTCCTAATCAGCTCCAGAAACACTGGAACCCTCTATTCCATTTTGCAAATTAAGCACAGTGGGAAAGGGAGTGACCCAAATGCCAGGATACATACAAGATTCCAGTGACAAGAACATGTCAGAAAACACCACCAAGGAAAAACAAATTTAAAAGCCATACTTCCCCATAAGGAGGAATTCCTGCACTGCACGGAAAGTTGGAGAGGAGATTTCTCCAAACATTCCAGTGTTCAGTCTAGCTTTTGGCTCCTGGACAAGTCACACATGCAGGCAAGTTAAGGTTACCCTGCCTGCTGAAAGGATCTGAAGTGCAAGAACTTCACACAGAAAATTATATGCAGCAGTTGCACAGCCGGGTGCTTGCCCAGCCGCACCACAGGCAAGAGCCCCATCTGCTGGGAAATTCCAGACAGCCATAAATAAATAAATAAATTTGCCACTGCTTGGATGGTCTGAAAAAAGCTTTGGCAACATTTTAGGAATAAACATTAAAATTTGGCCTTGCACTATGTCCTCAGACTTACATAAGCAGTTGGCTTTTTTTTTAGATACTGGTGATCTGCTAATTGCTTACAAACCACAGGCAGAAGTAATATGATTAAAACAGAATTCTTAAAAAGCAAAATTTTTGAAAAGCAACAGGCACAGATCTTACTGTGGCTTTTTTTTTTTTTTGGCATCAAGTGGGAATTCCTGTTGCATCCCGAAACAATCCTCTTGGGAGACTTAAAGAAGGAGCATGTTCCACGATTATCTTGGCAAACACAGCTTCCTCATACCCCTAAGGTTATAAATTATTTGGAGAATTTGAGCACATCTTTCAGTACGTATCACTGCCACATGCAGTCACAGAAAAGCTTCCCTGGCTCATGGCAAGAGGGCACAGACTGGTTTTGGGCCATGCTAAAATTAGACCACATCTCCAATGGTCACGTATTTCTTTTACAAAAACATGAACAATCCTGTTCTATGGAAAATAATCCAAGTGCCAAATTGTTGGTGAGAAAGATGATGCTCTTGAAGTAATGCTGAGTTACTAACAGCCAATTTTAAAATATAAAGCTAATTTGTGATGCAAGACCCACCCCAAAAGGTTTTATCCTTAACAGCGAAAGATCCATGAGTCGTACGAGCCAGAGCTATATGCTGAAACTCCATGTGTATCATCATTTGTGCCAGACTCCCTGTTGATATCTCTACAAAATTGACACAGCTCTCCAGAGAGTTAGAAAACCTAAAACCTTTAAACAAAAAACAAACATAAAATCTGCCCTGAATAGGAACATGTAAGGATGAAGTCTTTCACTTCATGCACTTTGCAAGAAACATGCTTGGGCTCCTTCCTCAGCTGAAAGTGTTGCCAGCATGGAAGCAGTGAAGATGGTCTCCTCGACAGTGCTGCTTCCTTCCTAACACACTGCCCATCACCTGCAAGAATGTCTGCTTAAACAGTCGCTATCTGCATTAGCCTGCCCAGAGCACAGCCATTGTCTTTGTGCCTGCACAACTATCCCTGTGCCTGAATGCTGAATCAGAGTGGGAAAGCGGATCTGTCTGCAAAATAACTTGGCAAAAACTCTGGTTACTCTTCAGCCAAAAGCATGTTCCTCAAACCAAACTGCCATGCAGCCAAGCAAGCAGCTACGCCAGCAGAGCAGGCAGGGACCTGCAGAAATGAGTGGCTCTTTATGCCAGCTTAAACACGACTGCAGCTGGCAGAACTCACGATACGACTGAAAATAAAAAATAGCCACCCTTAAATGAGAGCGCACCCTTTCCCCCAAAAACAACACAGCATGCTCCTGCTGACTACTTGGCTTCAGGTGCTTCTTTAATCATGTGATAAATTGACTGAGCTTGGTTGAGAAGTGAGATTTTACATTGTTGCCAGAGACCAAAAGAAAGAGGTGAAAAGTGGCCCTCAAAAGTATTTTACAACTATTTGCCTCTCTCACACCTCCAAGAGTCTTAAAATCTTGCAAGGGAAATAAAAGCAGTCAGAAATAAGTTTTATTAGGTTCTAACTGTTATAATTAATGCTTGAAATCTTCTGCTGAAAGCTTCTTTAAAGTTCACCTTCTTCTACAGCCTTTTGCTTTGTACTTGGACAAGTTTTCAAAAAGGAGGGGAAATAATTTAGAAAAACAAAACAGAAGAATACCATTTTAATATGTCAAAACAGGTACCCAGAAGTACTAGAAAGTAGGTTTAACTTATTTTAAAAAACAAACCAAAACAGAAAACCTAAAACAGACTCAGTTTTATACTGAGAAGCCATCTTTGAAAGTAAATTCTGGCACTCCTCCAAAGAGACCGACGGTTGCTTTTGGTGTCCCCATGCCTTCTTCACACTGCTTTAAACTGCATGCCTGCTTGCTGCCTGCCAAGGCTGGCAGAGACGGGACACTTCCACCTACTCTTCCAGTTCAGAGTTAATGTTATTATTTATGAGCTTGCAACAGGTCAGATGTCACAATTTTGGGTTTTGTAAGAAAAACATTCTGACAAAAAGAGGACTTACTTCCAGATGCTCCACTTGATCACACCACTCACATCAGCTGTCACCAAGTATTTAAGAACAATTTAATTAAAAATATGAGACAGATAAAGAACACATATCATCCAAAAAGCCAAGCTGAGATCATTCTGCCTCAGATGGTGTTTTAAAACTAGAACATTTTCTGGTAGGAAGGGTCTATTCAAGATATAGCAGCTATGGATAAAAGCTGGAAGACAATATGATGCTTGATGCTGTTAGTAATGGCTGAAGAATTACTGCACATCACTGTATTTAGGTATCACTTCTAAATAGTAAATGTCGTCTTCAGTCAAACACCAGAAATGGACTGAGCCAGTTTGTGGTCAAACACACTTGGAACACCTTGTTTTTGTAAAAGTATAGAAGTGACAGAGTATTGGGGGTTTGTTCAAAATACTTGCACTTCTATTAACATAAACTAACGCCAGAAACGACAGCGTTGGACTAAGGTCCCAAATTAGTCCTAAGGCTTTGAAAATTATTCACTATTTTCTCTCACTAGCATGCTTGGAGTGCTACAACTGCTACAAATGCCAGCATCTGTTCGGTAACACTGTTACAGCAACACCTTCAGATACTCACAAATTTTGTGGAAGCAGCTTTCAGTTTCAAGTTTGCTCTTAACAGCTAGGACAAAATCTGAATAAATGACCATCTGCCCTTCAAGTATTTCCCCTGAGGCTGCTCTACTTTTGTACAGCCTCAATGGTCTTTTCAGCAGGCAAAGTAACAAACATATCAGGAAGTCACAGAAGTGAAGCTTCTCTCACTCAATTCAAGCATCCAAACCAAAACCAAACCAGAAATCTCAGTCTGGCAATGAGGCAAGTGTTGTTATGTTTAATCAGGCATGTTTACTTTTGGAAATTTTATTTTATCTGTTCATAAGATGCTACGACACCTGAAACTAGCTGTGTCTCATAAGCTCTTGCTCCTCGTTTGATTTAAAATAATGAAAGGAAAAAATAACGAAAAAGAAATCAGATATTCATTTGGACAAACTTCCAAGAGAAGACCTAAGACTAAAAAGAAGAAGGTGACTCACAGAACCACATTAGTTCTGCTTTAAAATCCTCACGCTTTCCCTGGCATTTCAGAGACCAAGAACAATTAGTGTTAACAGAAGATAGCAAACATGTTTTGGGGAAGCTGTCAGAGCTTGAGAAGTTAAAGTTCAAGACACAAGTTTTCTACATGCTCATAGTATATATAGATTAAAAAAAAAAGGATGTTTTCTCTCTTCACTAGGAGTACTCAGTAGAGTAGAAGACACGCAAAAGAAACCACAGTGTAGGACTATATAAGTCCATTCATCACGCAGATGTTTCAGACTTTGACCAGTCACATCAAGGCCTTGCAGCCTCCTGCAATCCCTCCCAACCTTCTCAGCCTGCCAGCTGACCAGGCAGCCCATGTTGCTTAATTAGCCTCATAACATGCAGGCCTGTATAAAGTGGGAAACAAAATCAAAACAAAGCATGTACTCAAGCTAGCCCAAAGCACTAACAGTTATTGGGCAGGCATTGCCGATCAGATGATTGTACTTACATGGAACAGTTTCTCAGTCTTTGGAAATACTGCTATGATGTCATATAACCTTATATTTGCAGATGTTGATCTCTACAAAAGGAGGAAACAATTATTACCTTGAATTCTGGCAGATGCCAAAGCTATGCACAATGATTATGACCAAAATAATGAGAAGAAAATCCCTTTTTAACTTTCAAGTACTAAAACAAAGCCAATAATCATCCAATTACATAGTAAGTCTCTGCTGTGAGCTATAATGTGAAGTCATTCATTCTCATTTTGCGGCTTGTCCCACCCACATAGCAAGGCTCTTGCACTAAAACATAAACTGACACAGGGGTTGCTCATGGTCTAGTTTACATGCAGAAGTCCAGAAATCAAAGAAAAGAACTGAGGAACAGAACTGCTGACAATCAAGAGAAGCCATATCCAATCTTGTAAGTCTGCATCTCTCTATGATCACGTTATTTGCTAAAGATGCGATCTGAGAAATCACTGCTGAGCGTTCTACAAAATCCATGAAGTTCTCCCCTGACGTGGTTTAGCCCCAGCCGGTAGCTAAGTGCCACGCGCCGCTCGCTCACCCCTCCCCCGGCGGGATGGGGAGGAAAAACAGTGGCAAAGCCTCGAGGGTTGGGATAAGGGCAGTTTACTGGGACAGCGAGGGAGAGGGAAACAATCAACGACAGTGCTGATAACAGATAGTAACAATGGGTAATAACCGAGGACGATTTACCGATCCGATGACCGTCCGACCGACCGACCGGACGCTCAACCGGTCCCGCGTCCGGTCCCGGAACCACGCCGAGCCCGCCCCTGCCCGACTAGCCCCCTTTTATGGTGAGCATGACGTCACACGGCATGGAATAGCCCCCGGCCAGCTTGGGTCACCTGTGCTGGCTCCTTGGGAAATTAACTCTATCCTTGCCAGAACCAGGACATCCCCATACAATTTCCAAAGTTTCATTCATTCATTGAAAAAGGAAATAAAAACTGGAATATTAGTATACTGAATATACTTACCAAGAGATTACAGTGGGAAGGATCAGAAACAACAAGTGTTAGCCGGGTTAAGACTTTAATTCTTTTAGATGTCCCCTACAAAAACAAACAAACAAAACCAACAATAACCAAACCAAAAGACTGAAAAGCTCCAAAGCAAAAATATTGAATCTTCTTGTAGTTGAACAACTACAGGAGAAAATGGTGGCTTGCTCATGTTCTTGCCTACACTAATTTTCTAAAGTCTGTAGTTACACATCCCTATTTTATATTGATCTGTTTGATATTATACGTGCCCTTTAACAAGAATGACTTATTGTGTTTCCCTGAGGAAAGAAGGAAAGAAGGAAAGAAGGAAAGAAGGAAAGAAGGAAAGAAGGAAAGAAGGAAAGAAGGAAAGAAGGAAAGAAGGAAAGAAGGAAAGAAGGAAAGAAGGAAAGAAGGAAAGAGTACTGCCATGGTTCCCCGGGCAGGCCACAACTGTGAGCAAAAGCAGTTCCTGAATTAAGATATGTCAGTGATTTGAAATACAGACTTGGTTCATTATATCCAAGTCTTGCTCCATCAAAACCAGGAAGTTATTTCCAAAACTCAACTTTCAGGAGCTATCCTGTAATTATTCAACTACATGAAGATTCAAAATTCACACGAAGCAATTTCTTTAATAACTTCTGAAATAATGAATAGAGCCTACTCTAACCTGAGTGTATTGTTCTTTCAATGTTGGGAGTTTCAACAATCAAGCAATTGACAAATTTCTCTCTTTTGATTAATGTTTAATACACAAAATCACATATATAAACACACCAAGGTAAAAAACCCCTCATAACAACAATAATACATAGATGGAATGTAACTAGACATACTTGTACAATAGGCAAAGATGGAAACAACTCTGAAGGAGATACTGGCTTGACAATTTCCTTAAAAGAGAACAAAACAAAGTTATTCAAAATGTCATCGGTTAAGTTTAGAATGTAAACAAAAGCCGTGTTCCAATCCTAAAAACAAGTGTGCCACGCTAACAAAACCATTTCCCAGGGCAAATGCACAGACCATATTAAAAGTTAACTCTAGGGCCATTATACTGAATAATAAAAGGGGAGGTGTGTCACATATGCAGACATTTGTACTTGTGTCTAGATGTGCATTCTGCAGATAAAGCTATTTGGGAACATGTAATAAGGTATGTAGTTTCACAAGAGAAAACACACTGAGAACAAATAATCCCAAAAGTTACCTGTTTCTTTTCTTTAAAATCAATGACATGATTAAGAGCAACTGCAGAATATCCCACTGAAAAAGTAAACACACAGTAAGAATAGTTTGTCCACTAAACCAAAGGAAACAAATCCAAACAGAAACCTATTAAACACTCATCACTTAAATGTCTCAAAATTAATAATCACGTGTGTATTTACCTTTCAGATTATTTTTTCTGAAGATTAATTAACCCAAAAAGTGCCTTCAAATAAAAAAATTCTGTTTGTCTTTTAATACACCACAGCCCTGACAACACTTACTCGATGGCAGAGCTTTATGAACATAAATACTTGGGGTCCCCAAAGATTTTTGCCCTACTTTGGTCTTGTTGATGACTTTCTTAAGGGCAAATGGTGAAGGACATTCAGGATAGCTGTTAAAACTGCCGGCAATGCAGAGCTGGGAGAGATAAACCTACAGGAGAAGGCAAGGTGAGAATTCGAAATGATGCTGACAAAACTGAGGAGAAGGTCTCGTTCAGCTGGGATCAGAGGAAGATGATACACTTGCCAAAGACCAATCACCCCCCAAACACCAGACGGGCAGCACCTGGTGCACAGCAGTTCTGCAGAAAAAAAGATTTAGGCCGTAAGAAACTGCAGGCGGAAGAATGCACCCACGTTGGGAAAAATCAACTACTACGCTGGGATAAACAGGCAGAGACAGAGCCTGCAAGGCACAACACGAGCTTTCCTTGCTACACGGCACTGCGAAGACCTCAGTCCTGGTCACTTCACTTGCAGAAAACCCCAAGTTGAGAGCAGAGGAGACCTGCCAGGGAAGCAGATGGCGAGATGCAGCCTGTAAGGAAGGAAACCTGCCCAGAGACTCAGGCTGTGCTCACACCAGCTT